CATCCGAATTTTGGTCAAGACTGACTCAATTGAGTTTTAATCAGTAGTCTTGGCTGAATTCGACCAATTTTCGGTTGGAACTGACTCGGACAAATTTCGGTTGAAACAGACTAAACTAGGTTTCAACCATGGACGTTTTAACCAAATTCAGTTGAATTTCGACTTGGGCTGTCTCAGCATTTTACAAGACCTAGTTTGTCTCAACCTTTGTTTCGACTCATCTCAACTTTTTGTCTTGACTCGGCATCTCAAAGTTGTGTTGTTTGTCAATGTAGAAAACAAATTTTAATGGAATTTAGTACAATGTAGTTTGGTAGAAAAAAAATAATCCAATTCGTCTCAACTAATTTTTAGTTGAGTTTAATTGAGACAACCTACTTTTTGGCTTAATATAATTTTTAACAATGCACTTTATTTTGTCTACCTAACCTTAATGTTTTATGTTAATATGGGTAACTTATATCTCACGGTGCTGAAATTTCCTGATTTATTCTAGTGAAAAATTTTAATATTAAAGCCAATAATTTATCTTGCTAGTAATATGTTCTATTGTGATAAAAACTTGTGAAATTCAACTCGCACTTATGATCTAATTCATACTTAAAGGAAAGACTATTAGGAATACAAGTTTCTAAAGCGTATAAGGTCTTATATGAACAACTTTTATATATATATATATATATATATTAAAATTTTCCAATATATATATATTTTGTGTGTGTGAAAATGTTGGTGGTAGGATCCATGAGTGGTTATAGTGAATGGATTTTACTTGAATCATTGAATGTAGACAAGAGGAAAAGTGTCCTAGTGGGTGCCCATAAAGTAGAATTATTATATGAATTAATAAAGGAATATGATAATCTCCTTTGGCAGACAGGGATTATTTAGGAAGATACATATGCTGCCTCTATAGTTCCTATCTATTTTGGCAATTACCTTATTATCTGCATATAATGCCTGCATTTTGTTTTCATTTCTAGTCACACATACATACTACTTTTTATAGTGCTTCTACCAATTATAGTTGACTTCTATCTATCAATTATGGCACAATCATTGTCTTCATATCAACAAATCAAACTTTTCACCTTCTAAATATGTTCATCCCTATATCATAAAGTCAATCCATCCATTAATTTCCTTTTATTTCATACCAAACACACATATACAAATACACTCAATTTCTTCTACCTTTTCAACTTCAAAACATAAGAGATTTGTTCATCACATCACAAAGACATCAAGTTCATGAAATATTTTCACATCTTTAAGCACTTTTCTTTTTTCTCTAAAGTATGTTGTAACATACACACTCATTAATATTGATGTGGTTACATGAACATGCTAGCTACAATAGAACCTAGATCATTGTTTTCTCTTTTCCGCATTAACAAAGAATTAATTAGTGTATAAGGACTTTAATTTGAAGTCTAAAGAAAATGACGAGGCTTCCTTTGTCTGTTTCTTTCAAGTAAATTTTTGAATAATATTAATGGGTCATCATCTCACGACAAACTATGGACAAACATGTGAATTGTTTATACAAATAGTAATTAATCATTCATCACGTGAAAGGTCTCATGTTATTAATTTGCTTCAATTATTTGCTGTAACTTGTATTTATAAATATATATTACCGTGGTTATTTTTATGAGAAGTTTGTTAAGAAATATTTTATTTTATCTTTCGTTTCTTCCAGATTAATGACTTTCAAAAAACGAGTTAGTCAAACCCATCCATTTTCACATTTTGGAGGTTGATCAACCTATGTTGACAATGGTTTTTATATAGTTAAGTAAGACTTTAGATTCAAGAACACATTGTTTCAACCAGCTACTCTATGTTAAGAAGAAAAAATCTTCCCATTGAGATAGTAATAGGAATTTTTTTGATAAATTCATCACTACTAAATAAGTTTCTTAATTCTTTTGAAATGATAAAAAATGTCTTAATATAAGTTGTTATATTTGTATAAGGTTGAATGTTGTGTTTTTCAAATAGTACGATTTAATCTTAATATAAAGATGAAATTTAAAATAATATCAATAATTTTGTTAACGTGGTCTGGATTGAGAATTTAAGTCTGAGTCCAAGTATCACATTGGATATATATATATATATATATAAAAGAAAGTAGAACACTATATAAAAGTAAAAGACCCATTAACCCATAACTTTAAGGTTTTGGATAAAGAGTGGTATCAACCTCTTATATGATTATGCTCAGGTCTCATTTGATATTATGTCTCCCCGTTAAACTCTCTCCTCAATAGACCCAACCGTCCCAGTTATACGAGAGAAGTTTATACAGACATTAGTCAATGGATTTTAAAGATGAATTCTATCTTAGACTATATATTTTAAAATTTTGTACAAATCGTAGTATATTTATAATCATGCAAGTTGAAAGAACAAGTGTCATAGTCCTCTGCATGACGAATTGACTCTGAAACAGCAAATGATGCTACCCCTTTTCCAACGTTGTATAGATTATAATCGTCTCCATAAGTTTAGCAACAATATCCATTTATTAATGTTGTACCTTTTCCTTTGCACTTGATTATAACTCTAAAATTTCTCCTACACTAGTGCTGATAGATAGTATACTATAAACTAAAATTTCTCTATTTATATATATCTTGTCATTTGCATACCACTCAATTATATGATCTAACATGTGTTAAACACATTCTAAAACTATCATAAATACATGCACATTCTTATCAGCAACAATGGTTCAGTACAAAGACGTACGATGTATGTTGCCTCTGAAATTGTGGTTTTGGTTGAATACTTGGAAGAATAATGAAGCAAAGAAAGTAATAGGAGTCACGAGGTAGGCTAGGTTTTAGTTCACCAAGTTTGGTTGGTAAATGATTATGATGTCTGATTTGACAAGGGAATATTATTTTTATTAATATCTTCTTGTAGTGTCTCGAACCCTCTTCACATTACATTCAAACAAAGCAACATGAAAACTTCAAAGCTGAGTAATTGTTTAGTTTTATAGGCTGAAGCGCACTGAAAAAGAAAATGAAAACGAGGGTTAGCGAAAATTGAAATAGAAGGAAAAGAAAGGAGGGAAAAAGTCAAAGAGGTCCTAACAACACTGAGATACGATGGACAAGGATATCCTGGTCCATAGAGAGAGGACAAGATTATGCAACGTCTTAACTAATTTCTGTATTATTAGTGTCAATCATTTCATTTTTTAATGTTAATATTACATGCATTAATTATAATCTAATCTACCCTTATAATTAATATGCTCTCATTTTCACTAAGATTAGAACTTTTGTGTTCTGAGTCCCGTGACAAGGTGGCAGAGACTCAGCCGCACGTGCATGCACGCTCCTTTAACAGTAACCAAGCTTGAATCAATCACTTCATGCAGATAACAAATTGAAAACTGGTAGATTTTAGTTTCCAAGTCCATTATTATAAGGAAAAATATAAGTTGACCTTTCTTTTGTTTTCTCTCTCAGTGGCTAGCTGCATAATTTGTGTCAGATTAAACAATGAAACTATGTTTGTATTTACATTTACCAATGGATCATAAATTTCCATTTGTTTGATGAGGTTGGTGAATATTGGTTCCCTACTTTGAAATTTTGGAACCTGGTGGCCAATGGAGTTGCAGAAAAATGACTAGCCATAGCTATGGAGCAGAAGGAGTCAAAGGAAGGGATAATGATTTGGTGGTGTTAACACTTTTGACAGCATGCAATTTCATGGTCCTTCTTCTTCTTCTTCTTCTTCTGCCTTTGCCTTGATTGATAAGTTAGCAGTTATATATCTGTTGTGTGGTCTATCACGTTAATCTCATGATATGACTCTCCTTTCACCACTGCAATTCATGATCACCTATCTGTCTTTTATGACTTGTTTTCTGCCACAAGAATCAGTTTCCTTCATTCCAATTGTCCTTCCCACACTCCTTATTTTTCCACACTTTATTCAAACCAGCTCTTTGGAAAACTTCACTCACTTCAGCAAAGCCAGAATTTATACAACAATTAATTCGATTAGCATATATTAAAAATATAAATAAATGGGCTAATGATATCTTCAGACTCTAATAAAACTGATATATTTATACAATCATCTTTTTCACGTCTTCTATTTTGTCATATTTCTTTGTACACATTCTTACTCTCTTTTTCTTTACAATTCAAATACCTTTTTAATGAACACAAAAATATTCTTAAAAACATTCATGGTTATCAAAATTTCATCTCCTGATAATGATATCATAAATCACAAATACAAAATTTTACATTTGCTGATGAACACAACATCCTTGAAAACATAAATAGATTTATTATGGTTGTCAAAACATCATTTTTCAGATAATAATTTCTTAACACTGATAAATTTATAATTTGTTGATACTCACTATTTTGTCCTGCTTCCTTTCTTTTTCTTCACACTACAATAGTTTATTAAACTTTTAAGTACTTCTACTTGCAGACTCATTAATTAATTTTACGCGACGTGACCTAATGCAGGTTTTATCTTTTGGATGCTGTGGATGGAGAAAAGCAAGGAAACTAGCTCCTTCCAAAGAAACCTATCAGCTAGAAGTTTTACAAAAGCAAAAGCAAAATGTACCAGGCAAATAATTTCTGATTACTGTATTTTGATCCAAAGATAAATTAAATCACAGCTCTGATAAATTGTCAACTTTTTAAAGACTTAACATATCCTAATTATTTATATTCGATTATAATTGTTTGTACTTTTTCTCTCTTTATGTTGCATCATAAAGCTATTTAGTGGGGACAACGTCTCCACCATACAGTGTCTGCTCTGCTGTGTCACTCAGAAAGTAATTTAAAAGAACTTTCACGTTGATTAGATCATAGCTGAAGCAAATTTGTATTTGGGGTTTCCATGTCAAAAGCATAGTTTGTATGGATCTAATCACAGATTCTCTCACAAATTGGGCTTGTATGGATATATGACAAAATAAATTAGGACTTTAAAAATGCTAGTTTGTGTTTTTCTACAGAGTACTTCATATGAATACTGTTACAGTGTGCTGTCAGTATTAAACATTGAACATCAAATAAACAAAGGAACCAAAATTAACAATTAAAACACATGGATCAAATTTAAAAAAAAAAATGAACCAAACATTCAGTTCAAGCATATGCTATGGCTATCATAATATTTTTACTCTGACTAAATTTCCCAGAGCAACTCTCAAAATCAGGATATTTTTACATCTCGCAAAATCCTTGCAGCCATAGCTCCATACCTTCTAGCTTCCCACTCACTAAGCTTTGCATTTTGCGAGATTGGCTTATTTTGGTCATCAACATTTTCTTCAACGAGACCAGATCCTTCGACTACAACATTTCCCTCACTGCTTTTATCCTCCACAACAGTTTCCACATCAACTTTTTCAACAGTGGCCTCACCAGAGTTTTCTGTGCAGTCTGCTGAATGTTTGAAGCCCATGATGAAGAGTTGAATACTTGGATGTTGAAATGTCTCATCCATCTGCTCAAATTGAAGCTTCGGAACTAGTTAACCACACTCACCTATTCGTTAACTTTGACTGAAAATAGTATAGCTAATTCAAGACATATATATAGCGATAAACGTAACTCATTGGAACATATAGCTTACCTTGGACTTCGAGACAGTCTTCACATCAAAGTTTCTTTTCCACATCTGAAGCATCTTCTCATGGACACTTGTAGAGCGGATTTCATAGCCCAACTTCACGAACAAATTCAAAACAAAATAATAAACAAGTGAATTATCCAAGTTTACTATAAGAAATATGTGCATAATTTAATAGAGGAGTTGAATAACATACCATAATTGTAGTCCTAGGTCCAGATAAAGCAAGTATTGTCTGTAATAGAGGTTCCAATAGATGCTCTACATAAACCTTCAAAGAAATACACCAAATCAAACAGAAACAGAATGACGATCAATTTGTGAGTAACATACCAAATTAGTTCCCAGTGGCACTAGTCAATTTAATCTCTGAAATTACAACTAATATCAATTTATTACTTAAAATGATATTTGTAAAACTTCTAGGATTAAATTAAGTAACGGTTAAGATGACCAATGTTAACAAATATCAGGGATTAAAATCACATTTTTATAATTTTAAGGAGTAAATTGATTAGAGATTGTAATTTTAGGAATTAATTTGGGATATTGTTAATGAGTTAACTTTTAAGGGATATTCACTTCCAAATTGCTTGCAGAAAGGCCTGTTATACACTTACAACATCAGTGCCAATAATGTAGTCAAATGGAGGACCCACAGCCTTAATGTGACTCTCGTCTCCCCACTGAAGTTCAGCAACCTTGACTGAACCAAATGACTCTAAAAACAATTGAGGTCCAAGTCAAATACTACTATCTTTAAATCCGCAGACAGAATAACCAGAGATAAGTACAAGAAGAAAATTAAAAGATAAATATAAAGAATTTAAAATAAGTAAATACATAAAGCAAATGAGAATGAGGATGGTTCAAAAGTATGAAATCAAACCAGGATTCTTTTGCATGACCCTTGAAATATTACGCTCAACGTTTCTCTCCAACAATGGCAAAACCTCTTTTTGGTCTGTCACTATAACATCACACCCCAGCAAAGCCATGCCTGCAATGGAACTGCATATCAGACTAGTCATCACCACCCAACCTAAGTACTGAAAATAGGCTAAAGATAGACCAGTTTCATAAAGGAGTGAATATAGCAAAGTACATTGATCCAATGAACATATTTTTAACAACAATTTTAAAACTCACCAAAACCAGAAACACCACAGCCAGCTCCTAGTTCAATTACGCGTTTTCCTTTAAGTTTAGCAGGGGAAAATCTCCCCCTTCTGCAATTCCGTTCCTGAAACAATATAAAGGTAATTTAGTGATATTACTCTATTACTAGGTAATGGAAACTAAAATCAATATTTAAAGAGCTTCATGACCGAGTTCACTGTCAAAGGATCTAATGTAAACTTAAGATAATGTCCCAAACAAAGAGAAAATGTCACTTGTTTCCATTCATGTCATTTAACTTTCCTCTTCCAAACTTCCCCTTACATTTTTAAAACAAAGAGTTATAGAAAAAAAGGTGATTTAAATGCATTCACGTAAAATTTTATTCATGCACAGTTTCAAGAATAAGTTCAAGTCCACGGCTTATCTGTCCGGTCTGCACAGCTATTTTTTCATGTACATAGCAAATTACAAGGTACAATCATCTATGCTTTAATGATTGAGAATCTAAAGAATATCGCATGAATGTGCTAATTTAAAAAATACAGTAAGGATCTAATAATGTTTTCATTTATGAATTATGAAAAGGTTAAAAGGACATTCCAGAACATGTGAGATGCACACATAACTTACAAGAAACTTAGCGAACACAAGTGATGCATCCCATACAGTAGTCCCCAAGTGCTTGGAATTGGGATCCTATAAAAGAAAAGATTGAATTGTCAGAGTAGAAACATACGTAAAAAAAACAGCAAACATTTCAAATATATGATCAATTTCAACAAAATCATAGTCAAGTTGATGTCAACAGTTCACAAGCCGAACAACAAGAGAGGATCCCAGTCAACAACATATAATAATTTGTATGTACATGGCACTTTAGTCAGTCATCATTTCAAAAATTTACAATGCAGGTTTCATTTCTACTGCATTTGCCCTAAGTCTAACTGGTGTTTCTTTCTTCCCAAATATTTTGGGAATACTTACAAACAAAACAGAGTGTAGAAGTCTCTAGTCCACATTGAGTGACCTTGAGGCACTAACTTCATCTTACCCAAATTAATTTCTCATTGCGATCAATATCTTTCACTGCTTAACACTAACAGAGCCTAGAGTTTTCTAAAGGAGAAAAGTTTTGGATGCACAGTAAGGTAACAAAACTAAAGTTCAATGGGCACTTTGCAGAAAAGAATACCCTCCTTGAAGCACCCTTCAAACACGTGCTTTAAAAACAGTATAATACCTGAGAAAACTGCAACTCGTGGCCCAAAATCTCTAATGGCATCTCAAATGTGGTTGGGGAATTTAACCTGGTAAAACGACATTGAATATTATGAAACACGAAACTGTAATATGTAACAAATCATAAAGAAGAATCATTCAATTGTCTTTACCAACAACCATTATAGGCTCTGAATGTACAGCCATAGTGACTGTACAACAATGTAAAGCTATATACCATAGTATATTTTTTTTTCCTATACAGAAAAAATTATGATGTGTCCAATGCGAGAATAAGGGCATAGAAGCTAATCTAATGTGGTCACTCGATACAAATTCCACCAATTCATTGCAAATTTGCAAGCCAGTATAACAAGAGGAAGTCAAAGGTTCACAATCTCACTCTAATGAAAGAAGCGAATAGAAACAACCAAGTATTCAAAAAAGGCCAACCAAATCAATCTTTCCATCAGTAATCGGTACCCCAAATCCCTCAAAGCATTAAATTAGAAAAGACATCCATGGTTCCATGATCATGATAATTGGAATTTAGTTTAAAACGACAAGTTGAAGAAAAGCAAGCAGGTCAAGATATCATAACTAATGATCCATAACTGCACACAAAAATAGAATTGGCAATACCAACAACAACAAAAACTGCCGACGCACACATTTGGTTGCTAATGTTATTGCCAAGGTTCAGATATATATTATATTATAATTCGTGTGGAAATATATAATTTGAAGTTTGCTTTCAATAGATAGATAACTGATTAAGAAGGAATGTATTACCTGTCAGGCTCCATAAAATCACAGCCTTCAAAGAAAAATCCTTAATGCGCTAAAGTACTGTCAAAATAAAGAGGGGAAAAAGGTTCATCAACTACACAGAGAAACGAACACTCATACAGTATTTAATTTCAAACAGATTTCTACATGACAGGACTTTTTTCCTAACGAAAACCCTAACTTGTTGAAATCATTCAAAAAGTTGAGTTCCATTACTTTAAGTAGGTTTTATCATGTTTAAAAAGAAATTAGGAAAGGAAAATGAAGAAAAAATAACCCACCAAAAATTAGATTGAAACGAGATAGAATGTGAAAGCTGAGGTCAGAGTCTTTGAATAGAAACTAGATAGTAGCAGGGACACCCAGGAGGAGTAGAACTTCAACTTCGAATCAAAGGTTTGATGTTTGCACCACTCTGTATACTTATCAAATTTACACTATGAAATCATATTGTTTTCATCTTTATTTATTATTTTTCACATTAGTATTTTTATTATGATAAAAAATTTAAATCCAAGGATATTTTTATCAAATTATATATATATATATATATATATATATATA